AATACAGCCACAACAAAACACACTAATCAACCATCTCCTGATCAGGACAATAGCCTCTCTCACAAACTAGCCTTCTCACAGCCATAAATACTCCACCCACTCTCAAGCCTACCCAGAGCACGGTTTGCTGTCCTCTGAAGATGCCGGCCACAGAGACTGGCGAAACGTTAGGAAGACCCACTTTCAGAACACGGCCAAAAAGCCCGAAAAACCCACAACAACCATAAGGGATAAGACATCGTGTCTCTGCTGGTTACCGCCACTGCAGTAAAAACAGCAAACAAATTGGTATACTGTCCTACAAAAGATGGGGGTGGGGGGAAAGTGTGTCCCCCTTGGTAAGTTGTAGTCTCTTGCCAACTGATAAGAAGTAATGTCCAGCCTCAAGGGAGACCCTGACCGTACATGACCAAGCCATGGTGTTGCCCAGCTTGCTTGTCCCAAGCCTTGGTCCAGCACTGCTTAGCCCTGATCCAAAATGTAAGTGGTGTTTCCTCCTAAGAAGACACACCTCTTGTCTTTTGGACAAATATTCCCCGAATCCCATACCCATCATGCTTGGTGCAGGATTCTGGGAGGTGTAGTCCAACACCAACACCCCCAGCCAAGTTTCTCTTCCTCTCTCATTGCCTCTTTTCTTACTCAGTGTAAGCAGAAGGGTCTATTTATTTTTATTTATTTATTCTATTTATACCCTGCCTATCTGGTCATTGCGACCACTCTAGGTGGCTTACAACACAAAATACATGAACAGATATAAGAAAAGGAATTTTTTACACAATTAGACAATTCTACAAGATGGAGAGCAAACAAAATAAATCACAATAGAGAAAGGAGGGAAGAGAATCAGGAATGAACTGGGGGGAAGGCCTGCCTAAACATCCACGTTTTTAATTGGTTTTTGAATTTGTATTGGCCATGTAATTGGTCTACATGTCCTCTCCACAGGACACATTGCACATTTATTTGTTTGTTTATTCCTTCCTTCCAAAATACATGATATGACAAAATCAAGGATGGGCACTACTAACAGGTTACAATCAACTAAGCAGGGCATTTTCTAACATAATTGAGTCATGTAGTTAGCATTCAACTTGATCTGATTTTTTCCCCTTCCTCATCTATGTTTCACACTCAGGTATGAGAAAGTGGAAGGAAAGAAAGCTGTTGCCGGGGAACCGGATCATCAATAAAAATTATTCCTCCTATGCCCAAATCCACATGGCCCAGGCAGAGGCACGATCTGTAAATACGCTAAAGAAAGGGTAAGTATCAGGAAATGAGATTAGAAACAAGGGGGAAAGGAAAGTGAGATAAGAATTTTTTGTTAGGTAGGTAAGCAATGGGATTCTCACAAATTCTTCCAGCTATACCCTTCTTCTCAAAGCAAAAAAGAAGAGGAAAGTAAAAGAAAAATCACAGATGAGATGTTTCACATTTATTCTGGCAAAGCTTTCAGTGCAGCAACGTAACACAACATCAGTTCAAATGCCCTCTTATCTACATAAAAGTAATGAAACTAAATTATTCAGCTTATTATTGATTAATGTATCTTTCCCCACTTAATTCCTAGTCTGGGGGGAGGGGGGTTTAACGAACTGGAATCAGCTTCTAAGTCAGAACCAGAGGCTCCCACAAGATCACCAGTACCTTGAAATGAGAAAGGAACATAACTTTGGAGAACCTCCAGAGATGTCCTCATCACTATGCCCCCTGCATACGTAGAAATTGCATTTAGATTCAACCAGGGTGCTGTCAACTTATTTTCCATGCTTGGTTTCCATTGCCACAGGATAATTCAACGCTAATTGAGCCTTTTTACCGAAATACTGCCTAGGGGGAGCGTTTGTGTGGGTGAACAGGGCTTAAATTCATTTTTCCTGGCAGTGCCAAAGTCAACGTAGATTGCTCAGAAGGGTATTAGTGAATTTCTCCATATTTACACCATGGCAAATGAGGGGAGGTGGTAGTCTCTGTCTCTTACACACAAAAACACACACACACAGAGTGACCTATTTCTCTACGTCAGAACCCGGTCTGAAAGACCTCAGGCCACCGAGTGTTGATTTCTTTCTCTCTGTCGTCCCTCATGCGCTGCGGTGCACTTGAAGACTTGAGAACTCCACCCCACCATGGCGGGCACATGTTTTTAATCAAAATCCAGCTGCTTTGAAACCAGCCATTTTCGAGGCAGACGGCAGACAGAATTGATCTGCCCTCTGCTTGCGTTTCTGCAACTGATTAACTCGCTTGCTGGGAGCCCCATTTCCCCAGACACGGCGCATTAGCAATATACTAACATCCTGCCAAAGGGGCAAGATCTAGAATAACACGGACGTCTCAGTTGATTTAGAAACGTTTGTTAGAAACCCGAAAGGAAAGAGATCACAAAGGGGCTGTTCATCTTTGCTAGCAAGAGGTAAACACTTCTGCAGGATGTTGAGAAAGTAGATAACAGCTAGATAACTGAGGGGTTGAGGTCTCTTGCTGCAGAGGCAGAGGTTGGAAGTTTGATTCCCTACTCTGCCTCCTTGATAAAGGCTAGACTTGATGATCAACAGGGTTCCTTCCAGCTCTGTAGTTCTGATGATGATGATGATAGATGAGGAAAGGTTTTATGCTTGTCTCATAATACCAGAACTTGGGGTCACGATGATCCATAGGATCCCTCCCAGGTCTGCAGTTCCAAGATGATGATGATGATGAGGTTCTACTGAAACTAAACAATGGACGACCCATAATAGATAAAAGGACTTCTTAATACCAAGCATAATTAAACTGTGGAATTCCTTGATGCAAGAAATAATTGTGATGACTGCGAACGTGGAGGGCTTCAGAAAAAGCACACTGGTGGACATGAGAATCATAGAATCATGGAGTTGGAAGGGGGCCTCTAAGGCCATCCAGTCCAACCCCCTGCTCAAGGCAGGGTTACAAATCAAAGGATATATGACCTGTGGTTGTCTAAATTTCTCTTGAGTGCCTCCAGCATTGGAGCGCTCTCCACCTCTCCTTGGGGTCATGGGGGTTCTGTTGTCGTACTGCTCTAACAGTTAAGAAGTTTCTCCTAAGATTGAGCCTAAATCTGGCTTCCTGTCGCTTGAGCCCATGATGACGTGTCCTGCACTCTGGGAGGATCGGGAACAGACACTGCTTGTCCTCTGTAGGACTATCTTCCAAGGATTTGAAAAGTTCTACGCTCTCTCCCCTCCATCATCTTTCCTCAAGGCCGAGTGTACCCAGTTCCTCCAGTCTTTCCTCCTCCTAGGTCTCGGTTTCTAGACCCTGATACTCCTGGTTGCCTTACCTCTGAACTTGCTCCAATTTGTTGGCCTCCTTCTTATGCATTTGCATTTCTTTGTCTAACACTGAAAACATCTCTTTATACCAGAGATGGTATGCAGAGGGGAGAGGGGTACTATGTGCACAGAATGGTGGTTTCAGTGGGCCTTTGATCTGGTCCAACAGGCTATTTTTAAAATTATTATTATTTTTTCTTTATGCTGGAATGGGCTCAGGCATCGCAGGAAGAAGTTATCAAGATTGCTGTTTGGAAGGGGTGGAACTTAGCAGTCGGTATGTACCGATAATAGAATCGGAAGAATCATGGTGCAATCGTAATGGCCCTCACATCCAAGTGATCACTTTGGCCATATTTTGGTCAAGGTCAGACATGTGCATTGATCACATAGAAACATGAATGGGCTTAAGGGATGGTGAGAGGACCAGCATTCGCGAGCTCTCTCTGGAACTAATTTGAGAGAACATCCTAACTAAACTAGAAATCAGGAGGCGTGAGATCCCAGTGAGAGAAATCAACACCTGTCCTCTGAAGATGGAACCAATGGTGTCTTATGACCAGAAAGGGAGGAGGGGTGTCTCCCCTGAAATTTGGGGATGAGGCACCCCTCCTCCCCCAGTACTGATCCACAAGCTGTCCCTCATGGAACAATCAAGGAAGAAAGTGAAACAGGGTTGTTGTAGGTTTTTTGGGCTGTTTGGCCATGTTCTGGAGGTTTTTCTTCCTAACGTTTCACCAGTCTCTGTGGTGGGCATCTTCAGAGGACAGGAATTAGAACTCTGTCTGTGTTCTGGTGTAGAGTGTGGGATAGTTGAATATTTGTAGCTGTGGGATCAGGACCACACGGGGAAACATTTTGAAAAAACAACCTACAAACAGTATTCAGGCCCACTACAAAAATACAACAATTGTTACGGTCAGCAAAGGACAAAAGGAACCCCCTCACCACTGCAGGAGTATACCAGATACCTTGCAGTTGTGGCCAGGTATATATTGGGACCACGAAACTCAGCATCCACACCAGATTCAAAGAACATGAGAGACACTGCAGACTAAAACAACTGGAAACATCAGCAGTAGCTGTACATGGCCTGAAACAAGCTGGACATGAAATCCTATTTCAAAACACAGAAATACTGGACAACACCAGCAATCATTATATTAGACTGCACAGGGAAGCCACTGAAACCCACAAACGTCAGCACAGCTTCAACAAAAAAGAAGAAAGTCAATACACCCATAACAAAAAAACATCCTGATCACCATAATCAACCAATCTCCTGAAAAGGACAAAAAGCTGGTCCCACAGCTACAAATACTCAACTGTCCCACACACTACACCAGAACACAGAGTTCCATCTCCTGTCCTCTGAAGATGCCGGCCACAGAGACTGGCAAAACGTTAGGAAGAAAAACCTCCAGGACACAGCCAAACAGCCCAAAAAACGACAACCATCGGATCCTGGCTGTGAAAACCTTCGAGAACACAAAGTGAAATATCTCCATCATGATTTCACATTGTTTTCTATATGTAGAACAGCACTATATTACTAACCCTTAAGGCTAGTAATATAGCCTTAAGGGTTAGAGCGAGACTGGATTGGGCGGACGATAACACAGAGATGATCTTCCTGCAGGTATGGGTGTTCGTAATATCAACACCTTGCTCCTTTTAATGGGCAAAATATCTGATACATACCTTGCAGACATTGTACTGTTCAAAGAGGGACAGCAAACCAATGTTACTGCGGCCGGCAATGCCTTTTAACAGAGTGACCTGACCGTTCCCGGAGTCCAGTTCCATCGTGTCATTGAAAACGTTGGACACGGCATGGCCGGTCAGCAGCAGGTTGACCAGCTCCTAGGTTCAAGGGAATGAAAGGAGTGTGTAAAGGATGAGCTTCTGGTTCCTTGCCGTTGACAGCCCCCTGCAACACCCCCACCCCCCACACACACCCAAACCCCACACAACACACAAATCTTTAGCATCAAGATGGCCCACAGTGGGTCACTGGTAGGTGGCGAAATAGCCCCTCCCCCCAGACTCCTAGAAGTTGCCAATCTTTGCCATAAAGCAAGTGATGCTTTGAACGGCAAGCACAACACCCTTCATCCATTGAGCCAATCAAACACCACCATCTGACAAGGGGGAGGACCCCTCGACTTTCCTTGCCGTTGACAGCCCCCTGCAACACCCCCACCCCCCACACACACCCAAACCCCACACAACACACAAATCTTTAGCATCAAGATGGCCCACAGTGGGTCACTGGTAGGTGGGAAAATAGCCCCCCAGACTCCTAGAAGTTGCCAATCTTTGCCATGAAGTAAGTGATGCTTTGAACGACAAGCACAACACCCTTCATCCATTGAGTCAATCAAACACCACCTTCCTTCGTTCTATACATCCATCATCTGCTTCTTCCTTCCTTCCTTCCTTCCTTCCTTCCATACATCCATCATCTGCTCCTTCCTCCCTTCCTTCCTTCTGACTTAAAGCAAAATACTTCAACCCTCATAAAGCTATTAAATCTGGTGATATGAAAGCACTCATCTAAAACAGCTTTTTAACAGCGTAAGCACATTAAGACGACATGTAAAAGG